GGCTGGAAAGCTTGGAGGTGGTTCCTGGTTTGGGTTGAGAGGGTAACCTAGATCAAGCCAAATCCATCTCACCACCTATTTTGCACTTCCCATTAACTGAGAATGGTTTTTCCATGTTTAAGCAATTTTTAAATATCAAGAGAATGATATTGGGTAGCAGGTGAAAATTACACGAGACTCACATTTCAATGCCCGTAAGTAAAGTGTTATTGAAAGCATAGCCATGCTCATTTGTTTGTGTGTTGTCTGTGGCTGTTTTTGTGCTACAATGGCAGGGCTGAGTCATTGCAACAAAGATCTCATGGCTCATAAACCCTAAAATAAGGCCAGGTGCGATGGCTTACTCCTATAACTGCAGTGCTTTGGGAGGCCAAGATGGAAGGATTGCTTGAGCCCAGGAGTTCGAGACCAGCCTGGGCAACATAGCAAGACCTTGCCTCTACCAAAAATAAAATAAAATAAAAATAAATTAGCTGGACGTGGTGGCAAGCACCTGCAGCCACAGTTGCTCAGGAGGCTGAGGCAGGAGGATCACCTGAGCCCAGGAGATCAAGGCTGCGGTGAGCGGTATTTGTGCCACTGCACTCCGGCCTGGGCCACAGAATGAGACCCTGACTCAAAAAAAAAAAAAATTCTAAAATATTTCTCCTCTGGCCCTTTACAGAAAATGACTCTTGATCAAGATCTTCCAGTGGTCTTTTTTCAACTGGAAGATTCTGTGGGAGAGAGAAGCTTTTGCCTGAGATTTGGGTAGGAGGTCACGGATCACTTGGGGACCGCCAACACAATAGCCCGCAGGGTTGGGAACCCTTGATGCAGTGGGGAGAAAATGTGGATAATGTTTTAGGGAATACCCATTTGAGAAGACTGACACCAGACAAGAGCGAAAGCCTGACCCATGGCTCATTGCATCAGCACAGTTCAGGGAAGGTGTTTTTTGGGGAATAGGAAGACAGGCATAAGTTCACGACAGAAGGGAGACAGAAAAGCTTTTCCTGTGTCTGATGAACCCAATAGTATTCTTCGTATCTGCTTTATTTTACAGCACAGTTTAATATATCTGTTGTCATCTCTCTCAGCAAGAGGGGATTTTCTGAATGTTCTTGTTTATAAACGTGCAGAAAAATTTTTGCACAGAGAGTCATGCTTTTGTTGGCAAAAGAAAGTTAGCACTTGCTGATTTTCTGGCAATCCTAACAAAAACACTGAAGTATATTTATACTCTGGGGCCAAAACGAATCTCAGAATGACAGTGCTGAGATACATAACCAGTCCAGCTTTCCTCTCCTGCCTCCACCGGGTTTAACAACTTTGTCAAATTCCTTCCTCTGAAATCCACTTCTGCAAGTGAGTTGAAACGAATGCTCTCTACCATCATGTAAACACCAGGCAGGCTTCCCTGCTGGGCACTCCTAGCTTGGTCACCAACCAACAGATGAGAGAAGCAAGCTAAATCCACAGAAAGTGTGGTGTGAAATGTCTCCTTGAAAAAGCAAATTTGGGGGAGGTCTAAACTTTACCTGTACAATAACCACTTGTATACCTAATCCTGAATGGTACCCCACATCTTTAAAATTTTTAAAAATTCAATAAAAAATTTAAAAATGGAGCTTTCATTATATCATACATTTAAATTGAAATTGCAATTCTGGATAAAAATTTTAGAATGGAATGTCCAACACAGTGGGACTATTTAGCTCATAACAGTCCATCTGGCCCAAGGCACCAGAGCTTCCACTTTTCTGCTTCTTTCCTTATGATTTCTCATTTGAACTTCTTATCAAAAGAATTTGACTTTTATTTGTGAATGAGAAGAACAATCTGGTTGATAAAAAATAGGATGGTGGGCCGGGCTCGGTGGCTCAGCCTGTCATCCCGCGCCTTTGGGAGGCTGAGGTGAGTGAATTGCCTGAGCCCGCGGGTTCAAGACCCGCCTGGGCAGCGAGACCTCATCTCTACAATAAATCAAAAAATCAGCCGGACGTGGTAGCGCATGCCTGTAATTCCAGATACTCGGAAGGCTGAGGTGGAAGGATCGCCGGAGCCCAGCAGGTCGAGGCTGCGGTGGCCGGGAGCGGCCACTGCACTCCAGTCTGGGCGACCGAGTGAGACTCCAACAAAAAAAAAAAAAAAAAAAAAAAAAATAGGATGGTAGACCCAGCCTATTGATTGGGTAAATAGAAGAAAATATGCTACAGGAGAAATGTTGGCTAGAAAGTTCTACTTGCCATCCCAAATTCATAAATGTGGGGGCTTCATAAATGACACTGTGGCTTCAACTGGGCTGTGAGTTGAAAAGGTACAGGAATCTGCTCCATTCTGCTCAAGAATCTTACAGATACTACCAAAAAACAAAGTCAGAGATCGATGCCCAGAATGAAGCAAATTTTTTATTGCAGCTTACAGTGTGATTTCTTTATTACCATTCCTTAACTGTCAAAAAAAAAGTTAACTTTATACTGTTTTAAAATATAATGGTATTCAGGTGGAATTTCAAACTAGACACAGGAACTTAGTTACTTTATTACTTCAACAAGGCAAGATACCTATTAGGAAGTCAAAGGCAAGAGACTTTTTGTTATCTATGCCAGTGAGGGAACTTGATGTTCTGCTGATAAAAATCCACACAGAACCAGATATCCTACTTTGGCTAATAGGTTTGCCATCCTTTTCTTGGGGAATTAGATGACAACTTTTAACAAACAGCTACATTTGTTTATTTGATTTTCACATCCGTTGTGTGTCCCTGTGGCAATGCTGAGAGACAGCCCTCTACTCTTAATTCTTCAGTAGTTCCTGACCGCTGACCAAGCTGTGTGCAGGCATTTTCACCACAGTCAAAGGTTGCCTCCACAATGTACCTGTCCTGCTTTCTCTCCCGTCAGTCCCTTTATGTCCCTTTCACACCTGTCCATCTGGATCCCTGGTTGTCGCAACCTGCAGGAAGTGACAAGGATTCTGCATGATTCCAGCAGGCACTGGTCACATTGTGCACAAAACAGCAACCCCAGCTAAGAGTGCTGACTCTGGGACCTGAGTTCAAATCCCAGTTCAAATCCGCCATTTACGTTCTGTGTGACCTTAGGCAAGTTTTCTAACTATTCGACTGCTCAGTCTCCTCATCTATAAAATGATGCTGATAACACCTGCGTCATATATAGGAATGTGGCAGAAATTAAAATAGAGAATTTGGGGGAATGTGTTTACCAGGGCGATTGACCCAGAGTCAAGCAATAACTAATTCTGAAGATAATAATTCTAGAAAACTACTAGCTCTGAATTACTTACTTATGGAACAGATAAGAAAATTTTCCTTGCTTCCAATCACCATTTAGAGACCAACAGGAAGTTTGGGGAAACAGAGGCTGCCATTTTGAACAGTTCAACACCACTTGTGGGCTCCTGCATGAATGATAGATGGTAGTTAGTGGTGCTGATGTTTGGGTTGGTGCTGTCTGTATCCAGATTCGCAGAACATAGAAACTGGACCTAAAGTAAAGTTTTCTCAAGATAACCCATGCCTGTTTTTCAAAACGTAAAAAGAAAACCATTTCATGTCCACATTTACGATGACTTGACATTTTGAAATATGTTAGAAAGCATGAATGTGCACTTGAGAAACATTGCATGCTCTCTTCCTGTCTACCTACCTTGCCCCAACCCTGTGCAAGGCCATTGTCACCCTCCTCTTGAGAATCACTGTCTTGAAAGAAAGCACGATGGGCTGGTCCAGATTCCAGGTAACCTCTAATAAGGATCCCTCTAGTCCTAGGAGTTTATGAATTAGGGACCACGTGCCCAAACCCTGGACACCCAAGTTGTCCCAAACAAGGAAAATGCTGCTGTTTAAAGGGGACACAATGAGAGAGGAGACTGGAACAGAAGTTGGGTCCAGGAATGTTGCTCTAAGAACTGGGGGCTCAGTTTTTGTTTTTTTTTTTAAGAGGAATGAGATGACAACTTATGTTCTAGGAAGATAACACCACCCTGTGATTTTCTTTCTCTTGGGATAACAAAGTCATTAGAAAAAAAAAGGCTCACCTGGGTGGCTCAGCCTGTAATCCCAGCACTTTGGGAGGCTGAGGTGAGTGGATTGCCTGAGCCCATGGGTTCAAGACCAGCCCAGGCAACTTGACAAGACTTCGTTTCTACAATAAATCAAAAATTAGCTGGGCATGGTAGCACACCTATAGTTCTGGCTACTTGGAAGGCTGAGGCGGAAGGATCATCGGACCCCAGCAGGTTGACGCCAGGGTGACCATGAGTGTGCCGCTGCACTCCAGCCTAGGCAACAGAGTGAGACTCCAACTCAAAAAAAAAAAAAAAAAGATGTTCTATCAGTCATATAACTCCGGGAAGATATCTTTCTTAAAAATCCATAAGAAAGCAACACATACCCGCCTGCTTGCAATAATTTTAGGACTCAAGTTAGAGAACAGTGGACTATGGGTGAGATCCACACTTTGGAGAATTTTTCCCTTATTTGTACTCTGAATCTTTTCCTTTTTTTTTTTTTTTTTTTTTTTTTTGAGTTGGAGTCTCACTCTGTCGCCCAGATTGGAGTGCAGTTGCCGCTCCCGGCCACCGCAGCCTCGACCTGCTGGGCTCCGGCGATCCTTCCGCCTCAGCCTTCCGAGTAGCTGGAATTACAGGCACGCGCTACCACACCCAGCTGATTTTTTTATTTATTGTAGAGATGAGGTCTCGCTGCCCAGGCGGGTCTCAAACCCATGGGCTCAGGCAATTCACTCACCTCAGCCTCCCAAAGGCACGGGATTACAGGCTGAGTCACCGAGCCCGGCTATGCCTGGCCAATTTGTTCTTTTTTTTTTTTTTTTTTTTGTAGAGATGAGGTCTCGCTCTGTTGCCCAGGATGGTCTCGAGCTCCTGTGCTCAAACGATCCTCTCGTCTCAGCCTCTCCAAGTGTTGGGATTACAAGCATGAACCACCGTATTTGGCCACAATACATACATTTAAAGTGTACGGTTTGGGCTGTTTAAGGATGGCGGTGGAAGGGCCACACCAGCAGAAGCAAAAGCAGAAGCCACTGGGCAGCGACTCCAAAGGTGTTAACTCCCTGGCCTATGAGGAAGCCATCATGGCTCAGCAGCACCGAAATCAGCAAGAGAACCCTCTGGTGTCAGAGCGGCTGGAGCACTTGGTCCTGTCCAAGGGGCATGCCGAGGATGACAGCATCTACCAACAGAAGATCAAGGGCTTTCACAAAAAATACCTGTACATCCAGAAGACCAGGCCCCACGGGAACTGCTTCTACTGCACCTTCAGACTCTCTTCGGACTGCAGTGGTTCAAGGCCATGTCTGCCAAGAGCAAAGAGGACCTGGTGTCGCAGGACTTCACCAGGTTCACGATGGAGGATTTCTGCAACACGTTCACGGACCTGGTCAAACAGGCAGAGAAGCAGACCTCGGTGGCCGACCTGCTGGCCTGCTTAAACGACCAGAGCACCTCGGACTACCTGGTGGTCTACCTGTGGCCACTTGCCTCTGGCTACCTGCAGCAGGAGAGCAAGTTCTCCCAGCGGGAGATGGAGCCCACGAGTGAGGGGAGCAATCACATCCACGTGGTCACGCTGTCCCAGTGCTGAGCATGTCCATCCAGGTGGACGTGGACTGTGGCGTGGCATGGCGTGGACCATGGTGACCGTACCACTAACCTGCATGTCTTCCCCGAGGGCTCCGAGCCCAAGGTCTACCTGCTTTAACCGACCCAAGCACTATGACGTCCTCCACAAATAGGGTGGTCTCCCTGCCCTGCCTGTCCGCTCCTGTGCACTAACCCGTGTACGGGAGTTTTGTGGTTGTAAATGGTCACATTTCACCCCCACTTCCTGTCACGTGACCTCTGTGTTTTATTAAAAGGGATGCCGGTGATGAAAAAAATAAATAAATAAAATAAAGTGTACGGTTCATTGGTTTTTGGTATAGTCATAGAGTTGTGTAACCATCACCGCAATCAATTTCAGGATATCACCCCCAAAAGAAACTACATACCGATTATGGGCCACAGTGCCCATGCTCAGTCCCCCCAGCCCCAGCCCCTGGAAAACCCTCATCTGGTTTAGATCTCGTTTAGATCTGCCTGGTCTGGATATTTCACATAAATGGAATCATGCAATCCATGGCCTTCTGTGTCTGGCTTCCTTCACCTAGTGTGATGTATTCGAGGTTTATCAATATCCTAGCATGTATCAGTCCTTCGTTTCTTTGTTGGCTGAATAATGTTCTATCATGTACATCAGCATGGCTTGTTTATTCATCAGCTGGTGGCTTGTGTACACTTTTTTTTGGCTGTCATGAACGATGCTATTATGAGCATTCAAGTCATAGTTTTTGCGTGAACATATGCTTTCATTTCTCTGGGGCACATGCCTAGGAGTGGAACGGCTGGGTCATATAACTCGATGCTTAGCATTCTGAGGAAATGCCAAACTGTGTTCCAAAGTGGCCGTGCAATTGTCCATGCCCACCAGCAAGGTAGGAGGGCTTTGATTTCTGCACATCCTCATCAATACTTCCTAGTCTCTCTCTTTTTTGATTATAACCATCCTAGCAGGCTTTTTGTTTTGTTTTGTTTTCAGAGTCAGGGTCTCCCTCTGTCACCCAATCTGGAGTGCAGTAGCAATATTACAGCTCTGAGCAGCCTCCACCTCCCGGCTTAGCTGATCCTTCTGCCTCCGCCACCGCAGTAGCTGAAACTACAGGTGTGTGCCACCGTGCTCGGCTAATGTTTCTATTTTTTGTAGAGATGAGGTCTCGCTATGTTGTCCAGGCTGATCTGGAACTCCTGAACTCAAGTGCTCCTCCAACTTGGCCTTCCAAAGTGCTGAGATTATAGGCAAGAACCGCAGGGCCCAGCTTATCCTAGCAGGTCTGAAGAGATGATGTCTTCACTTTTTGATCTGATATCCCTGGATAGCTAATATCATGTGCTTCTTTCTGTATATCTTCTTTGGAGAAATTTCTGTTCAAATTTTTTCTGGCAATATTTCTGACAGCAACGCTTGACATTAGGGTACAGTCACATTCTTTGTAGATTGACTGCTATCACTCTAAGTCCTTGAGAATGAATATGTGTCCTAGGTAGAGAAAGTCAGTGATCTACTTCCAAGTATGGGCAAGAGGAGGGGGTTCAGCATTTGGGTTCTCTACCCTATCTGAGATTGTGCATATAAACAGGGAAGACAGAAAACCCATTGTTTTCCAGACATGTGTTTTTTCTCAATCAAATAACTCTGGACTTGACGGTAGAAGTCCTGGGCTTCATTCCTGGTTCCACTTGGCCACTGCAAATAAGTTGCTTAGTAGGTAACTTAGCTTCTTTGAACCTTTCTTTTCACTGACACCCCCCTTTTCAATAATCTTCTTTCCTTTTTTTAAATCGAAGTATAATTTACATGCGGCAAAATTTACCCGTTTGACATACTGTTGAAGTTTTGGCAAATGCCTACAGCTGTGTAATGACCACCACAATCAGGACAGAATATTTTCCTCATTCCAAAATTTTTTTTCACCCTATTCACAGACATTCCTCCCTCTACGTCAGACCCCTGGGAATCACTGATCTGATTTCTCTATCCTTTTGCCTTCACCAGAATGTAGTATAAATGGAGTCTTGCGGTAGAGGTATAGTATTTTGAGCCTAGCTTTTCTCAATTAGCGTGGTGCATTCAAAGTTCATTAGTGTTATTGCATGTATCAAGAATTTGTTCTGAGTAGTATTCCGCTGTGTGGATCTACCATAGTTTACTTATCCACTTCCCAGTTGAAGGACATTTGGGTTTTTTTCAGCTTTTTTTGCAAGTATGAGGTAAGCCACTGAAAACTTTCTCAAACAGAAATATAGGTTTTCATTTTTCTTGGGTAAATACTAAACTATTTTGCGAATGCTGTGTTGGATCGCTGACATTCACAACAATGATTGCGAGAGGTGCGCCCTATCCTCACCAGCACTTGTCACAAACCTCAGTCTGCCCATCTGTAATTGGGACAGCAGTCCCCACCCTGCCACCCTCTCAGGATTGTTGTGGAACAGCACAGCAGAAATGCTCAGTGAACTAAGTGCTACACGCAAGTCGGGTACGCTGCTGCCCGGGGATGACGCTGGTCGTGCCCGCTTAGGGGTGACCGGTGTTTCCCACATGAGCTAACTGTTTCATTTTTTTCCCCTTACACCCTGGCAAAGTGAGTTATATCAAGTTTAAAACTGCCACAAGTTTTGCCTTGATGCATTCTGAAGTTTGTTTTGGCCTCAGTCTTTGAACGTGTCACAGAATCAGATAAATGGCCAAGATGTAAATCACCAAGGATGAGTCAGCTGTGTAAAGAAAAATGACCCTGTGGAATGGAAGTCCTCAGGAATGAAGTCAGCACGACAGACAGCGTGACTTGCTGTGGGAGAAATACAGGCAGGCCTCAAGAGGCAGTGTCCCTGGGGCAAGGCGTTTCAGGTGCCCGTGCGTGAGGTCAGGAGGGGTGGGTGAGAAAACTGACAAGGTGCTAGTTTTAACTTTTTTCAAAGTTGAAATTTACTTTTTTCCAATGTTAGCAACAAAAACATGTAGGAAACAAGGCAAAAGTTTCCTCCTTGACATCAGAAGGAGCTAATGTGTAGTGTGTTATCAAGACGGCTACGTACAGAAGTATTTATCGATACATATGTATATGCAGGTTAGTACACAGACATGTATTTCCCTGCCCTGTCATCTAAGAGAGCATAGAAAAACTGACACCCGTTAGCAACAAGCACACCCTGTGCCTAGATTTTGGTTTCTAAAACTGTCCTCCGGTAAAAGGAACCAGGACTCCTTAGAAAAATGGCTGAAGCTAGGACTGAAGCAGAAAACACACAGACTGAGCCTGGAGTATCTGGTCATACCAGACAGTAAGGAAGAGCTCAAACAAAAGCTCAGTGATGCTGGGTGCAGTGGCTCAAGCCTGTCATCCCAGCGCTTTGGGAGGCTGAGGCGAGAGGATTGCCTGAGCCCAGGCGTTTGAGACCAGCCTGGGCAACTTGGCAAGACCTCGTCTCTACAAGAAAAAAAAAAAATTAGCCAGTCATAGTGGCATGCACCTGTACTTCCAGCTGCTAAGAAGGCTGAGGCGGAAGGATCACCTGAGCCCAACAGATCGAGGCTGCAGTGGCCATGAGCATGTCACTGCACTCCTGCATGGACAACAGAGTGAGACTCCAACTCAAAAAAAAAAAAAAAAAAGGACTTAAGAGAGAAGATAGACAAATGGGACCTTATTAAACAAACAAGCTTCTGCAAAGCCAAAGAAACCATCAAGAGAGCAGGGAGACAGCCTACAGACTGGGAAAAAGGATTTGCCAACTCTAGGTCTGACAAAGGCTTAACATCCTGGATCTACAAGGAACTGAAACATACTGAAAAGAAGAAAACAAACAACCCCATTATAAAATGGGCAAAAGATATGAACAGACACTTCACAAAAGAAGACATCTGAGCAGCCAACAAACACATGAAGAAATGCTCAACCTCACTAATCATCAGGGAGATGCAAATCAAAACCACACTGAGATACCACCTAACTCCAGTCAGAATGGCAATTATTAACAACTCAAAAAATAACAGCTGCTGGAGAGGGTGTGGCGAAAAGGGAACACTTCTATACTGCTGGTGGGAGTGTAAACTAGTGCAACCTCTGTGGAAAGCAGTGTGGCGATTCCTAAAAGCTCTAAAAATTGACCTTCCATATGACCCTGCAATCCCCCTACTGGGAATATACCCCGAAGCACACAAATCACACTATAAAAAAGATACCTGCACACGTATGTTTATTGCAGCGTTGTTCACAATAGCAAGAACCTGGAAACAACCATGCTGCCCATCAAAAGAGGACTGGATTAAAAAAATGTGGTACATATACACGATGGAATACTACGCAGCCATAAAAAAAAACAAAATCATGAATTTCGCAGCAACCTGGATGGAACTAGAGTCTATAATACTGACCTTTCACAGAAACAAAGATCCGAATATCACATGTTCTCACTCATATAATGGACCTTGAACATCCAATGCAATACTATGAGAAAATGACTGACGGTACTGGGAAACTATGGGGGGGAGGGGGATGGGATTAACAGTAGCAAATAGCTGTCTGGGGAAGGGGAAACACCTCTTATCAACAGGGTGCCTGAATGAAACGTAATTGTACACCTAACCCTTAATTGTACCCCACAAAACCATAATAAAAAATACTGATTAATAAAAAAAAAAAAAAAACCTCAGTGACAGGGTCTTTCAAAGAGACAGAGAACTCCCTATGGCCAAAGCTGGGGAAATCTGAGCAACCAAGTAAAGCAGTGATATATTATAGCTAAAAGCATAAATAAATATTTATGAGTCTATGCTAATATGATTGAATAAATAAATGGACAGAATAGACACATCTATGCAAAAGAATTTGAAGTAACTTATATATTCCACCGCCTAGGAAGTACAGCATGACTCCCCACTCCTTGAGTGTGAGCTGTGGATAGTGACTTCCTTCCAAAGAGAACAATGTAGAAAGGGAGGAAAAATGAGTAACTTTACAGAGGCGGAAACTGACAAAGTGCCACCTCAGTCCGGTGATCAAGGTCAACGTCAACAGGGAGATGTTGACCTTTCGTGTTTATCGTGTGTGTCCTTGATGCAACGTGATGAGAATGGCACTTCACCTCTATGGTCTTCCTCCCACAAAACCTTGACACCAGTCTAGCCATGAGAAAA